AACTGCTGTTTCTGGAATGCCTTGATAGTCGAAGCAGACTTTGTGCTGTTGATGCGAGAGAGGTGAGCAGAGTAAGTCTGATTACCCGTTTGGACTTTTCTGTTGAAAGATACTAAATTCACCGACGCATATTTGGTCGCTTTTAAGCACAAGGGGGCTATCCCGAAAAATGCTGTTTTGAAAAAAATCGAAGGTAAAGTTTTTGCCCCTTGTTCAGTTTCTTTAAACGACCAGGAGACTTTCCTCCCTACAAATATACTCACCAATGACACCAAACTTCTCCTATAGGTTGAGCAATGCCCACTTTTGGTGTACCGGTAGGTCAAGATTTGTGGAAACTGGACCCCCCCCCCCCCAAATCTGGGTTAGCCCGTTTTGTCCTTAAAAGCGACCATTTCCGAGCCCAACATTGTGTTGACCGTGACTTGGTGAAAAAGTGGGTGGTTGGCGGGTGCTCTGGTGTGGTTTGCTTCTTCTTTCCTACCAAACATTCGTCCTTATCTCCCCTCCTTCTTTTTTAATGTTTGCTAGTCCCTTGTAACACCTCTAATCTTCTGGCGCTCATATGATCTTATGCAGCTGCGAGCGCCGAAAAAACTCTACTAAAAAAAAAAAAAGAGCTTTCACTGTGAAATGCAGCCTTTATTGCCTTTCGGAAACCATAACTTTTGTAGATACCACTTATTATTTAGTTGGGGATTTAAGTACTCTGGCTTCATTATGCATGTCGTGTGCCCTCCCAATATATCCTTTCCTTAGCATTGTCGGGCTAAAACATTCCGTACTTTGGTTCAGTTTCGCATCTAGATGAGTTGAGTAAAGACCATTGTGAATATATTATATTGTGATACATCCCCTTGTCGATTTTTATAAAGCTGTGTAAACGTAGCAACGCCTTTTCGAAACGATTATTTCTGAAATTACGTTTAGAAGCTGCCCGTCTCGTGCAGATATAAAATATAATATACAGTCAAACCTGCCCTGATGGCCACCTCTATAAGACGGTCACCTGAAGAAACGGCCACTTTCCATCCCCCCCC